TCCCAGCCCACCCCCCCACCACGTGTCCCCATCACCAGCCACTCCCAGGCCCTGAAAGCAGGAGAGCTGGGAGCCAACTTACTTGTGCAAGTCGAGTCTGGAGCTGTCCTCGGGGACCTGTCCCGTCACTGGGTGCAGGAACGTGTTCCGCCTTTCATTGTGGCTGTGGAGATGGGAGGGGGGTTGTTAAGAGCCCCCCCCAGAGACCCATCCTGCTAACCCCGTGCTTTGGATCTCTCGTGGAATCACGGAATCGTGGGATCACGAAGGTTGGGAAGCTCTCTAAGGTCACTGAGTCTCCAGCCATTAGCCCAGCACCGCTGTGTTCACCACTAAACCGTGTCCCCAAGTGCCACAGCCAGGTGGGTCACCCTGGAAGTGAAGCCAGACCCCCATCTGGCTCCCCCCTCCTGTCAGGGAGTTGCAGAGAGCGAGAAGGTCCCCCCTGAGCCTCCTTTTCTCCAGGCTGAGCCCCCCCAGCCCTCTCAGCCGCTCCTGGTGCTCCAGACCCTTCCCCAGCTCTGTTCCCTTCTCTGGACACACAAAGATTTCACTGGCATTTCCCAAAAAGTGCTCAGCTCACTGGGGGCCAAAACAAGGGCTGTAGTGGCCAAGCCCCCCTTCTTTGTGCTGCTACATTTCAGGAGTCACCACTGACCCCACTCAGAAGTCACTGCAGCAGCAGCAGCAGCAGCAATGGCCCATCCAGGGCTGTGCCTGCAGCAACATCCCCAATGTCACACCCTCCCCCTGCTGCTTTTAGGGCCATTTGCCAAAACACTGCAAGGTTTAGAGCAGGGTCACCTGGCCATGGAGGGCTGTGCACCCCCCAGACCCCAAACACCAGCCCAGGGCCCCCAGCACAAGCTGTTGCTGGTTTGGTGGTGCTGGGCACAGCTAAAGGTGGCTGTGCTGGGCTCCCTGGCAGTGCCAGGAGCAGAGAGACAGGGCTCCTGCCAGGCTCAGCTGGCACCTTGTGCCACGTCCCTGCCCCAGTCCCACGCAGCTGGTGTTGTTGGGCACCCCCAGCACTTCACTGCTTCACCTGGGGAACCCCCTCCCACGTCCTTTCCCAGGAGGAAAGGACAAGGTTTACCCACAGGTTCAGGGCTCCATCCCAGGAAGTTTGCACTGGACCCCGTGCCCATGACCTCCCTCCTTCCCAAAGCTGCCAGGCACCAGGACATGGGTGCCCCCCCCCAGCAGCCCGGCGTGACACCAAACTCCTGCATGTCAGCAAAACAGGGGAAGTTTGAGCAAGAAAACGCAGCTGCCAAGACCATCCCATCCCGAGCTTCACCCCAACCTGGGCTGCTGCCAGGCCCTGAAGGCATTAACCACTTCCTACCCAAAAAAGCGCCGCTGAGCTGCTCCCCCTTGCAGGTCCCACCCCGTGCCCTGCCACGGGTCTGATCCCCTCTGCCAGTGCTCCCCACGCTCGGGGGCATCTTAAACACCCGGGGAGTGTGTGTGCACCCCGCAGCGAGGG